CGGCACACATCATCAGCGCTAATAATAGATGTAGCGATAGACTTGATCCTTGTATGGTTTGAGAGTAGACGTGATCTTGATAGATCCAACAGTGGATATATGAGTCATACAGCAGTGACCTATATCACAGACTGCCCCCATTTCCTACTTCGCAGGACAGAAAATACGTAGGTACGTGCAATGTTTAAGTTACCAGGACGTTGTCACAGGATGTACTTACATGTATGTAACCACAGTAGCATGGTAGTTGCAGAACTTACAGTCAAATGACCCGCGTTTCTAGTTTCTGGCTGATAGTTACCTAATGTAATCAAATGCATGTAGTTACAGGGTTGCCCGCTTGGATACAATGTGTGAAGCCCATTTCTGGTGTTCCCCGCCGTGATATTGCTGGAATATTCATAAAAGCGGCGTAAAACCATATTCACTCACTCACCCACTTAAAGGGTCGTATAAAATAACAATATTGAAGTTAAAGTTTGTTTGTTGTTTAACGCCACACTCAATCATACGCCAGTTATGTGGCGGCCGTCTGTAAATAATCGAGTTTGGACCTAACAATCCAGTGACCAACATAATGACCTCTGATCTACACAATTTGGATACGTGTCAACCAAGTCAGCGAGCATGACGTCACCTCTTACGTTGCTGAAGGCCACTTTCTCACCCAGATCTTCACGGGTTTCATAGACAGAGTGAATGTTTGAGTTACAGGATGGAGTTACATGGATGTTGTTACAAAGTTGCTGTTGCTGGCTAGCCTTTCAATATCACAATGATACAATGTGGAGTTGTTATGGGGTTACAAAATAGTAGTTACAGCGTCCTAACAACATGGACGTAAAATACCCAGGTATTAGTTGCATGGCAGTGTTACACTGTTACATTACATTAGTAACACGGGTGTAGTTACAGAGCGATAGATACAGGTAGATATTTCAGGGTAGAAGTTACCTGGCAGTGGTTACACTGTTACATGACATTAGTAACACGGGCGTAGTTACATAGAGAGTTGGATACAGGTAGATATTTCAGGGTATAAGTTACCTGGCAGTGGTTACAATGTTACATGACACTAGTAACACGGGTGTAGTTACAGAGCGATATATACAGGTAGATATTTCAGGGTAGACGACAATTGTCAGTGATTGCACTGTTACATGACATTAGTAACACGGGTGTAGTTACAGAGCGTTAGATACTGGTAGATACTTCGTGGTTACACTGCAGGGTAGAAGTTACCTGGCAGCGGTAACACGGATTGTAAGCTTACAGAGCGATAGATACATGTAGATATTTCAGGGTAGAAGTTACCTGGCAGTGGTTACACTGTTGCATGACATTAGAAACACCGGTCTGGTTAGAGAGCGATAGATACAGGTAAATATTTCAGGGTAGAAATTACATGGCAGTGGTTACACTGTTAAATGGCATTAGTAACACGGGTGTTGTTACAGAGCGATAGATACAGGTAGATATTTCAGGGTAGAAGTTGCATGGCAGTGGTTACACTGTTACATGGCATTAGTGACACGGGTGTTGTTACAGAGCGATAGATACAGGTAGATATTTCAGGGTAGAAGTTACCCGGCAGTGGTTACACTGTTACATGACATAAATAACACGGGTGTACTTACAGAGTGATAGATACAGGTAGATATTTCAGGGTAGAAGATACATGGTAGTGGTTACACTGTTACATTAGTAACACGGGTGTACTTACAGAGAGATAGATACAGGTAGATATTTCAGGGTAGAAGGTACCTGGCAGTGGTTACACTGTTACATGACATTAGTGACACGGGTGTAGTTACAGAGCGATAGATACAGGTAGATATTTCAGGGTAGAAGTTACCTGGCAGTGTTTACACTGTTACATGACATTAGTAACACGGGCGTAGTTACATAGAGAGTTGGATACAGGTAGATATTTCAGGGTATAAGTTACCTGGCAGTGGTTACAATGTTACATGACACTAGTAACACGGGTGTAGTTACAGAGCGATATATACAGGTAGATATTTCAGGGTAGACGACAATTGTCAGTGATTGCACTGTTACATGACATTAGTAACACGGGTGTAGTTACAGAGCGTTAGATACTGGTAGATACTTCAGGGTAGAAGTTACCTGGCAGCGGTAACACGGGTGTGCTTACAGAGCGATAGATACATGTAGATATTTCAGGGTAGAAGTTACCTGGCAGTGGTTACACTGTTGCATGACATTAGAAACACCGGTCTGGTTAGAGAGCGATAGATACAGGTAAATATTTCAGGGTAGAAATTACATGGCAGTGGTTACACTGTTAAATGGCATTAGTAACACGGGTGTTGTTACAGAGCGATAGATACAGGTAGATATTTCAGGGTAGAAGTTGCATGGCAGTGGTTACACTGTTACATGGCATTAGTGACACGGGTGTTGTTACAGAGCGATAGATACAGGTAGATATTTCAGGGTAGAAGTTACCCGGCAGTGGTTACACTGTTACATGACATAAATAACACGGGTGTACTTACAGAGTGATAGATACAGGTAGATATTTCAGGGTAGAAGATACATGGTAGTGGTTACACTGTTACATTAGTAACACGGGTGTACTTACAGAGAGATAGATACAGGTAGATATTTCAGGGTAGAAGGTACCTGGCAGTGGTTACACTGTTACATGACATTAGTGACACGGGTGTAGTTACAGAGCGATAGATACAGGTAGATATTTCAGGGTAGAAGTTACCTGGCAGTGTTTACACTGTTACATGACATCAGGAACATGGGTGTAGTTACAGAGCGATAGATACAGGTAGATATTTCAGGGTAGAAGTTACCTGGCAGTGGTTACACTGTTACATGACATCAGGAACACGGGTGTAGTTACAGAGCGATAGATACAGGTAAACATTTCAGGGTAGAAGTTATATGGCAGTGGTTACACTGTTACATGACATTAGTAACACGGGTGTAGTTACAGAGCGATAGATACAGGTAAACATTTCAGGGTAGAAGTTACCTGGCAGTGGTTACACTGTTGCATGGGATTAGTAACACGGGTGTACTTACAGAGCGAGACATACTGGTAGATATTTCAGGGTAGAAGTTACATGGCAGTGGCTACACTGTTACATGACATTAGTGACACGGGTGTATTTACAGAGCTGTAGGTACAGAGAAATAGTTCAGGGTAGAAGTTGACTAAAATACCAAACATTTCGCAGCCCAAAAATAACACGACCTGTACACTACACATTTTCCACCTTAAACTGTAAAGGTATGTCATATGTTCCAGTTCTAAAATGTCTAACACCGTTCATAACTCGTCTTTACAAACAGTCCCCATTGAACTAGTGAGTGGCTGAGTGCATGTTGTTTTGGACGCCAACCAGCAGTTTTCAAACAACACCCTGGCAGCTCCTTCTATTTACACAGCGTTAGAAATGTAACCCCTGAAGTGGGACACTTGTGAAGAGCATCCTCATCGTGGTGAGTGCTGGGTAACGCTAATAGCTCTTCCCCTGCAAAACATTTGCCAATATTGAGGTAGCTGTGTCCGTGCACAGGACTCTCAATTCTTGCCGCGGTATCATACAAGAGAGGGCTCGTTGTCTCTATGACATGTCAGAAGATGATATTGCTGCGGGGCCTGTTGATCAAGGTGTCACGGTTGTAGTGAGTGAGTTTAGTTTTACGCCGCACTCAGCAATATTCCAGCTATATGGCGGTGGTCTGTAAATAATCGAGTCTGGACCAGACGATCCAGTGATGAACAGCATGAGCATCGACCTACGCAATTGGGGACCCATGACATGTGTCAACCAGGTCAGCGAGCACCCGATCCCGTTGTTACTGAAGGTTCATTCTAACCCGGACCTTCACGGTTGTAAAACGTTTCACCGTCAAGAAAGAAGGTATCATCACAAAAATCAACATCAGGATATTTTGACATCGGAGTGTCCAGTCCACTCCAGAAATCTGGTCATGGATCAAACTTTTTTCATTGCTCTGCAATCTGTCATCGTTGTGGTGAGAGCCATGAAAACACAGAATGTGAAAAAGATTTTAAGTGTGCTAACTACCATGGTCCACATGGTGCATCTTCCAAATCCTGCCCTGTCTTGCAAAAGGAGTAAAAAATAATGAAACTAAAATGCGAAAAAACCCTATCCTACTTTGACGCTAAATAGTCACTAGCCACTATTATGTTTTTGTCAGCACCTTATGTTTACCTGTTGTGAAAATAGGGTTACAGTCTATTGACACAGGCTCCTCTTTGCCAGGCAAATATTGTGGTCTTCTTTGTCAGTGTACCATTACGTGGTGTTTGATTATACTGAGTGTTCTATATGTGTAGGTCTGTTTTCTTATTAAATACCGCAGAACTACAATTGTCTATTTTCTTTTCATTAAAAGTAACTAGATACACGAAATGGATAAGTTTTGGATACTAAAAAAGCAATAACACTTGAAAATTGAAAAGTAGCGATGGGCTAGTCTTCTGGTTAAAGTGTTCGCCTCGTCACGTCAAAGATCCTGGCTCGATTCTCACATGGGTACACAGTGTGAATCCCTTTTCTGGTGTCCCCTGTGATATTGCTGAAAACGGCGTAAAACCATACTCACTCACTGAACATCGATCGAGATGAACAAACCGTGGAAACACAAGTAAAGAAACATGTTGACATGTATGCATATTAGTCCTTCTTTGCGGTTTGAATCCAATGCCAATGGGACCATTATGTTAGCTGTATGAGACAAGATGTTTGTGGACTTACAACACTTCGGTGAAATCCCCGAGCACTGCTATGCTCTTGATCCTACCACTTCAAAGATCACAGCACAACCAGTCCCAGTTTGAACTAACCCACACGAATACCCGACTCGCCCGATACCTGTAGGTGATATTTTATTTCATGTTCCATAAGACTGTCTGGGTCACATTGACCTGGTGAACAATATCACATGCCCGGGATATCAGCACAAATGTAGGTCATTAAAATACGTGCCCCTGAAGGTTATCATTCAGGTCAGTAAACAGAACGTCTCGCAAGAAGACGAGCTATTCCATAATACCCACTTTCTATATAGAGACACATCAACGCAGGCTCTGTCAGTGTGTCCACGGGTACGTCAACACCGAGGTAGGTATTTAGTCGTATATGGAGCTCATCCAATGTGACTCGACAAGCCATCAAAGGTTCGTTCAGTTTTAGCGACTACAGTATCCTGGGAACGTTGTCACAAAAGCTCTATGTTGAATTTTACCCAGGACTCCAACACCAGACAATAATCTTAATGCAAGGACCCAGACTGAAGTAGGTTAGACGTACAGTGGAGGCTCGATACCGGATATACCATAAGTCACACAGACACAGCTCAGGTCTCCTTGTTTCAGTGTACCCTATACGACACTGTCGTGCACACACTATTGTCTGAAGACGGTGTGTTGATCACAAAGTGTAGACTGGTATGTTTACAATTCTACAGTCGTATCAGTCAGTTCCGAGTAATTTTGGCTGCTGTGTCTCATGATACTGAGATGCTGAGACTTCCTTCTGTTCCAGGACAATCTAAAGAAGGACGATGTTTGAGTGTTTATATATATGTCACTGAGACATGGGTGTTTTTTGTACACTGAGTGAATGAGTTCAGTTTTACGCCGCACTCAGCAATATTCCAGGAAAATGGCGGCGGTCTGTAAAAAATCGAATATGGACCTCACAGTCCAGTGATCAACAGCATGAGCATCCATCTACGCAATTGGGATCCGATGTCGATCAAGTCAGCGAGCCAGACAACCCGACCCCGTTAGTCGCCTCTTACGACAAGCATGGTTTACTGAAGATCAATTCTAACCCGGATCTTCACGGGTTGTTTTTGTACTGCAACTTTATATGACTAAGTCATGTGCATTGTTTCAGATTCAAGCACAGCAAAAGAGACTTCTAAGCAAGGACGATGTTTGAGTGTTTAACTCAGTGGTGGCCCCAGTCTGTGATAACCCAGGCTCTTGTTGTTGGGAGTGTGGTTGGAGTGATCGCCTATAATCTCTTCAAGAAACGATACAACCTACCGCCAGGACCAAAGGGATGGCCGTTAGTTGGAAACCTTTTGGGTGAGTGACTTTAATATATTTTCCATGTGAATCTAACCACGATATTTCTATTTATCGAATGAATGGATTCAATCATATATTATTTCTCGAATTGCATTGAACGTTAAAGTCTGTGCTGTCAGAACTTCATATTATCTTTATACATGTAATTTGTGACTTGTTATCAGATTCTAATATGATCATTTCAACCCAGCTTTATCTTTTTTACACGTGCTGTTGTACAAGAACACGTGTTAATTCACATGTACTTAAGGGGCATGGGGGTAGCTTAGTAGTTAAAGCTTTCGCTTGTCACGCTGAAGACCCTGGTTCGATTCCCCACATGGGTACAATGTGTGGAGGCCATTTGTGATGTCTCCCGCAGTGATATTGCTGGAATATTGCTGAAAGCGGCGTAAAACAGACTCACTCACTCACATGTACAAAAAATGTACGTCACACGTCTGTGGTGCAAAGATGACACGTATTCATATACGCACATGAGCATTAATTAAGTTCCGCCTGTGTCAGTGTTTAACATTTTAGTCCAAAAAGGCGATTATGCCTTAGTGTATTGGAGTGCACACGTAAAACACGTGTTTCACACAATGTTCATGCTGGGGTTTAAATTTCATTATCGCAGTGTGCGCACTATTGAAAAGATGGCAGTACTATAACTATTGTCGGCATGGTAAAACTTTCGGAAAATACATGATGGCAAGACATTGTAATGTTTGACGGAGAGACGTCTTGTTGCAACATCGGAAAATATTTTATTTCTAACATGCTTCGCTACAAGGTCAAAGATTCCGACAGTACTTTATCCGGAGATAAAGTACACCTTTTGCATTACGTCACACTGAAATGACGTCACTACGCCATTCTAGTCTGCCCCTCGTCATCAGACGGGTTTGGTACCAATGTGCCTACAGTTCATTCTGCCCAATTTGGGCATACAGTCCAATTTGGGTATAATTACAACTGTAGGCATATTGGGAATTGAAAAACACCCCATAGAATATAATGAATTGACCCAATGTACCCTTGCTAAACGACGTCACGCTTGCCGTAAGTTGTCATTGTGTAGTGCAGTCTCCTAAAGTGCAATTAACTCGGTTACCTCTCCGTTTTATGGTATATAGTTGCTCCAGGCGGCTAGCATCACCCGAGGAAACATTACAGTTAACTTTTTACACGGAAACATTGCCTCAGCTTCACCAAGAATTTAACCCTAAAGCTACAGTCTTGTAATTCTTAAATGTAAATACAACCATGTACATACAATACATACAAAAATCAAGTACAAGCAAGCCAGGACTAACATGTAACCTAACCATGTGAGTACAAGCATAAAACTACCACGCTGATACTACAAGCCTGTAATTCTTAAACGTAAATACAACCTTGTAAATACAACCATATATGTACAAGTATGTTTGACAACATGTTGCTTGAAACATGTCAGTCCAAGCATACGACTACAGCCATGGCTACAACTATGTAACTTTCTAAGATGCCTAGCGGTTAGAACAATCGAAAAACAAATACATTATCAGACATTGTAAACCAAAAGTCACTGTGTTCTTTAATCTGATTGGTTGAAAAACGTGATCAAATGGTATTTGATTCCCGGAAATTCTCTACGTATTAATACATACAAACATTGCTCACACCATTGTATTGTTACGTCGTCAGCTGTGGTGACGTCATTCAAATCATATTGTGACGTAAAGTCCGAATGACGTCACAAATCAGCAGTTCCAGATGCTACCGTGGGAGACATTTCACTGCTGTACCCGTACTCGATGTCAATGAGTGCAGACACAAAAAACGTGTGTGGACCTTTGGGTTTACTTTTGGGTTTACAATGTCGATAAACATCATGTGTTGGCGAATTTCCGGGGTGTTAATGAGTATTTGAAGCACGGGAATATCTCATTTGAAACCTCCGGCTAACGCCGTCGGTTCCAAATAAATTCCCGTGCTTCAAATACTCAATAAGACCCGGAAATTGGCCAACACATGATGTTTATCTCCTAAATAAAGGCATATTATTTTTATGACGTAACAATTGAATGACGTCATCCTGTCACTGCACCATTCTAGCGTGCCCCCTCGTAATCAAACCATTTTACATTACGTCACAATGTAAGCGACGTCACGATGCATGTCAGTTGTCATCGCCTCGTACGGCCTCCTACAGTAAACTATTCCGTTGCATCCCGTTTCTTGGTTTGCAGTTGCTTCATGCAGCTAACATCACTGGTGGATTCACTACGTTTATGTTTTACGACGGTTAAAATGTCGCTTGACTACTCAGCTTCATCTGGATGTACTGATCTAAACTTACGTTGGTAGTAGAAATGCGACGTTCATATTGCCCCATATGGTTTACGTTCATGACAGATGTAATTAAAATAATTCAGAGAAGATATATAATCCGAACGTAAACCGTCATCAAACTGTTATCATTTGTTTTTTCTGGTAACGTTCGTCTTAACGTAGGGGGGCAGACACATCAATAGAACAGCGCGCGTCCTCGTACTTTAACTATGATAGTTCAGGGCGAAAGTGTGCTTTATTACACTATACATGGTGGTAGAGCGAACTGTATTTCTTAAACAACCATGTAACTAGAACAGGTAAACACTACAATCTAAATACTAAACAATGTAACTCTAACCCTGTAGTAACTACAATCTATGTGAGTGAGTACTAGTAAGTGAATTTAGTTTTATGCCGCTTTTGGAAATATTTCACCGCCCCACAATCTAAGTACAGTTCCACAGGGGGTAAGCACTGCCCATGCCCAACCAAAGGTTGGTCATCATCAACTACCATTTCCCCGATAGACAGTCTATCCCGGTAGAGAGTCATAGATGGCCCAGGTATCTATATGAAATGAAGTTCTTGCTAAGCTTTCAGAATATTTCAGTGGTATTGCTTTAAAGGTTTGCGTAGATGGAAAAAGAGAAACATTGGACCAAATGTGTCGCTCAATACACAGCTGCATGTTTCAAACCAAGGTCCTACCTCAGTTGATAAATAACAGGAAACCATCTACCCGTACAGTACCTTTTCAACAACCCGTACAGTTGATTTGTTTACATGAGCAACTACCATCGGCGCGTACAGTTATTGGTTTCGTTATTATCTCAGTTTGTATGTTTTGACAGAAGCTAAAATCTTAACACAGCGGCTACATAACCTCATTTAGCCTAAAAATGCACAATACGTGAAATGAATTCAATTGATTATGATTCAATTGACGTCGAAAGTGGTCGATTTCTCGGCTTTTCTGATTCGCGCCAAAAGACGTGTCAAGAAATGCTTCAAATGTAAATAAAATATAACGTCATGACCAAATCATATAGGGTTATAATCCATGGCCAATGAGCTTATGAGACAAGTCGATTTCATAACATTTACTGCTTGGGGAATATAAAATCTTACAAAGTTTGGGACTCACTCTCCACCGAGATCGACTGTCTATCGGACAAATGGTAGTTGATAACGACTAACTTCCGGTTGAGATGGACAGGGATTACCCCACGTGAGTTCTGTAACTACATTTATGTTACAACATGTATCTGACTGCAACCAATGTAACTACATCCGTGTATGTGCAATCACGTGACGACAACTATGTATATATATTATGTAAATACGACCATGTAATTAAGCATGTAAGAAGAGCCATGTAAGTAAAACCACATCAAGATGATGCTTTTTATCTCCAGAGGTGCGAGGGACTCTCCTGTTCCGAAAACTCCGCGACTGGAGCAAAACATACGGTCCAGTTATGACGATTCAGCTGGGTAAGATTACCTGCTTCACGATGGTACAACAATGTATCAGGTAGAAATGTGGAGTGCATCATCAAATTTATTGCATCGGTTACAAACATTATATCTGTTACAGTTAAAGTTTTTGCACGTACCATGGTACTCCGGTACCATAACTATTTAATAGTGATCTTTGAATGCATCCTTAGTTTTTGTGAAGACTTTGTACTATCACCCTTTGACAATGATCTTTTAATTCCTTATGTCTAAATGGATCCTGCGTTTGGAAAAAGGGTTTTGTTGCCTTTGTATCCATGTTAAATAATGAAGGCTGTCATGAGGATCCTGGACACTGGTGACCATGTATATTTCAACTACTTATGTAGAAAGTATACAGCATACAGTCGCATACTGAGAACGTCGTGGTCTTCCATGACGGTCAATCGTGAATTGTGCAGAGATTCTCACTAATACCGCACCAGTAACTCTGTACCCAAAGGAGAACAATTATGTTAGGTTTTGTTTGTTTATTGTTTTACGCCACACTCAGCAATATTCCAGCTGTATGGCGACATCAATGAATGGCGACAATCCAGTGATCAACAGCATGAGCATTGATCTACACAATTGGGATACGATGACATGTGCCAACCAAGTCAGCAAGCCTGACCACCCAATCCTGTTAGTCGCCTGTTAGACAAGTATGGGTTGCTGAAGACCAATTATAATCAGGATCTTCACGGGTCTTATATGCAACCTATTCGCTGATAAGAAGATATTCGTATTCACAATAACAGAAATGAACATAATGATTTTCAGGTACTCTCAAAGCAGTTATTCTGAGTCGAATAGATGTTGTAACGGAAGCTCTCATTACAAGACAAGCAGACTTCGCAGGAAGGCCGAATACATATGTTGGTAAGACATCATTCACCACATACATACTATAAAAAAAACCTATAATTCTACATTTGGGCAAATCGCCGAAAGTCTCTCTGTAGGTCCGAATATCAGTCGTTTTAAGATATCTTCATGTTAATTGTTTCCTTGCTTCCATTGCTTTCTCCACACACATACTTCCAACCAGACCATATAGTGTTTTATTGGGATTATAATATTACGCTTTAATATTGAGATATTTGAGTGGTCAGTGGACTACATTTCAAAACGGGCACTGAAATTGTGGAGAGTGCCTCTGTAAGACCGAATTAATTATCATTATTCAGTTTTCTTCATGCCAATTGTTTCCTTGCTTTCATTGTCTCGGAACACGACCCCTCATAAAACAATTATGGTTGTGCATATAGGGGTGTGGGGTTGTGGTGGTGCGGGTGGATGCATGGATGGATATGGTCATTTAACACTCTTTATTTATCCCCAGTATCTCAATTAACCAAGGGAGGAAAAGACATAGTCAACGCATCGTACGGCCCAAGATGGAAGTTGCACCGGAAAATTGCATCCAAAGCGCTCAGGTAAATTTTCACTTTTTATGCAAAGATGGCATGGGTTATACTTAGTTGCCAAATATGATAGTTTTCTTCAAACAGTGAATTCCAATTAATATTTAACTACGTTTTGACGCTACACAACCCCTGAAATCATATATTCTCAAATGTTTAAAATTTGAGGGGCATTAACACATGACCCAACATGAGCTTGAATCATTGATTAGAGAATGGGAATCGTTATGCCCAAAGTGTGTTAATGTGTGATACAAGGTTAGTCAAAATGCAATTTGATATATTTTCATATATATGCATATCAGGCACTATCTAATGGGAGACAACCTCAGCCGGAAAGTGTCCCAATCACTCAACATCACTACAACGTTGATGAGAAAGGAACAAGGAGCCTTTGATCCTTTCCCCTACCTGTCACTCTCGATCTCCAACATGATGACAGGAATGTTGTTCAATAAAATCAGGTAATTATATCTTTGCTTTTTTTTTGTTGTTTATAGATATGATTTTAACACAGAATGTATTATTGTTCTTAGAGTCTCAGATATCGGAACTTTAAGTTAAAACACCTCACGCAATTTAATCTTCAATTGTTTCTCAAAAACACTGGATAACTTGTGTATTGAATATGTATTTGTTTGTGTGTGTGTGGTTTACGGAACAAATTTCATCAATGAGATATTTTTGTGTACGATCTTGTTAACCGAGCCTCATCTTATTAAGTTTGATTTCTTCTTTTGGTTTGTGTGTTCGTTTGTTGTGTAACGCCGCAATGAGCACAATCCCAGCTGTTTGATTGCGGTGTGTATGTGTTCGTGTCCGGTGATCAACATCATGAGCATCGATCGACATAATTGGGATACGATGACATTTTTGAACTCAGCGAGCGTACCCACTCGAACACGTTAGTCGCCTCTTACGACAAGCATGGGCTGCTGAAGATATTTTATTCAGTAATGTTTAACATAGGCAGAGTTCAGAGATACGAGTATGAACGACTTTAGGGTTTTGACGTCTTGACGCGTATGTTGTAGTCTCCCATGTACCTTCTAATGTACGTGTCAGAAATGCGTTATTATGTATAAAAGTCACAGATTAGCGCTCAAGGCTTTTTTCCTGGTTGTCAGAACCATCAAGGGTTTCACCAAATGGAAACTGTGTAAAACCGGAACCACATAACTCTGTCAACCGTCAAAGCGAAGTTAAACCAAACTCATCTGAATGTTTCTTTAATTCTAGTGAAAATGTAGACTCTGAATACTATAAAGCGTACGTCGTCACCCTGGACGATTTTAATGAAAGAAGCTGGAGAAGGATTTCTGGAAGATTCACCCCCGCTTCGTCTGTGCCCAACGCCTAGATTCAGACGTGTTACTCGAGCCTCCGATAAAATATTAGATTCCATCAAGAAAGAAATTGCATCCCACAGAAAACGTTCAACAAAGGTAAGCATCATCTAAGAGTTGAAGTTACTGTAATTTGTTGTCTACTATTGAAAACAGGAATAAACTAGACGTATATGCCGAATTAGGTTTGTGACCAAAAGCTGAAAAGGTAACACTTGTCAATATATACTTAAAAAAAGAAACTTCACGTGCAACTTTATCCCAAACATACCCTCTTATAGAACAATGTGTTACTAGTGGATACATCTTTTATAGATGTAAATGAGGGTACTCTTAAAATAGGATTTCAGGGGCATTTGGGTGCACCATCCACAGTCAACAGTAGCAACGACTTGAACGCAATGATGGGACCATTTTGATTTCACAGGACTAGCCGTCTGTATTGGAGTTATCGTTCAGCACCGCGTATGTCCCTGGTCGCCCCTCACAACAGCATGGCAACGGGAGGTGCTATCTCTCAAAGACTGTTAACATGTTTTTCCTCTTATCACCTCATTTCTGGGTCAGAAGAAGTTGAACAGGCGGATGCGTCAGGTTTGACCTGGCCATTATGTTATTCTCCCATATTAACTACTACCCATTTTCAATATAAATCATTTCTTTTGGTTCAGTACACAGGCGTCATGCTTAGAAACAGCGTTAGAAAGACATATAGGTATATAGACCCTACCCTAGTACTATATAAAAGGAAAGGGATGTAACGACGGAACCTACCCCTCCTCAATCTAAGTTAGATTTCACCACGTAAACTATTTTAAGGCCCCGTCGAGGCCTACGGATCAAAAGCGAGATGATTTCCTACAAAATGAGCTTATAAAATGGTCACAATCGGATCATTATTTCAAAAAGTTATACGCCACGACTCACCGAAAACAGCTACCTGCAATTCCAAGCCAAAATCATGGATCACCCAAGACAGCGAAAACTCACCTTTTAAATTCGTTTATTAATTCCAGCCACGTTGACAGCACCTATGTAGGGCTAGATTCGATCGGCAGCGCGGCATTCCACGGGTCTAAAACTTATTGCAACATCTACAAATCATTTCCTCGACAGTAAGCAGACATTTTCTCCAAAACCATCGGCAATCATACTCACTTGTCGGCCATAGATGGCCTTTGACATTCAAGTGATCTGGAGCAGATCCGCAGAAACGAAATTGGGCCATCCGATTGGTGGAAAATATAATATACTGTAAGATTTTGACTGTTTGCTAATGGCGCGAAATATGAACTTTGCAATAATCCTTTATTTTGGATTATGTAC